TGCTGACAAACTTGCTATTAATTGTACATAAATACTACCCCCTTGTGGTTAAAAGCAACATAGACATAAGCTTCAGTACATTTCTAACTTGTTTTTTAGATGCCAACTTGGCTTGTGTTTTGATCTTCTCATTTTTTTCTTCTTCAGGAATTTGTATGTACTGACAGTGACACATGTAAGTGTTCTGGTTATTGTTATTTATAAAGTATCATTTTAATGGTGCTCACTCAGAACAACAAATTGTATGATGTTTCAGCAGGTGCTGATGGTAGCAGTGTCTTTGTGCATGTTGGCAAATCTCCAAGAGGAGTTCATCTCAGCTCAGATGACGCAAGACAAAAACTGTCCTGTAATCTGAATAATCCTAATCGCCATAATAATTAAATTGTTTTCTGTAATCTCTCCTAGTATATAGTGCGTGAAATGACCACATTTAACATAATGAGAATGCTTGGCTTTGTTCTTAAAAGTATTTCAATGGATACATAATTCACTTCATTCACTGAAAGAATATTACATATACAGTGTTCACAATTATCCTTTGTTTATAAAAAATAAAACCTGTTATAGCTTTATGATCCCCTGAAATTATATATATATATATATATATATATATATATATATATATATATATATACAGGTGCATCTCTATATATTAGAATGGCATACACTTTATTTCAATAGTCCACTTTAGACATTCTACTAACTATAAGTAACTTTGTAACTACATGTCAACTAACTCTCAGAGTAGACTGTTAGGGTAGGTTTAGGGTTAGTAGAATAAGTTGACAAAGAAAGTGTTAGAAGATATTAAGCAGACAGTCTACTAATACTCTACTAACTGCTAGTTGACATGTAGTTGCAAAGTTACTTACTGTTAATAGAATGTCTAAAGTGGACTATCGAAATAAAGTGTTACCATATATATAAACTAAAAATTGACCAGTGCCTACAGTGTGCCTGCTCAAAGAAACAGCTGTGCCATACTGAAGATAGTGTCAAGACAAAGCACTGTTGCTTATCGGTGGACAGTTTAACACTAACACATTCACAAGCTCCATCCTGCAAACAAGAGGCAAAATCAAACTGTGATTGTCAAAGTGAGGTAAAATTCAGAGTTTAAGACAGTCAGAGACAAGTGATATGTGGACGAAAACACAAGGAAAATCAGTTTGTTTTTTCTCATCTGCAGACAGAAAGGCGTGAAGGGAATCTCCCAATAACCTTGGAAACAGGGACACAAACAGGAGCTTTATCTTACCGAGATAAAGTTCAGTGCTCACTTATTCATGGCAGTCCCTTTCCTCACTGCTGATCAGAAAACCAGCTTCTTTACCACAAGGTGGCAGTGTTTTAATTTTAATCAGTTCCTCAAGCCAACGACATACTTCTCCAAAAAATGGGCATAATAGAACAGGAAATATGCCCTCAGGGGCATCAGTGACTAACCAGTAGGTACAGAGACATCCAAAATCACAAATATGCATATCCTTCCGCAGACTTCATAGTCGGAAGAGCATGAAAAGAGATCTGACATCAAATTTGAAACATCCTTTCTGCAAAGCCCCAGGTATAAATAACTAACCCATTGTGAAACCTCACAGGACACATTTTCCAAGTGTTTCTGATCAAAACGAATCATCTTAAAGGAATAGTTCACCCAAAAATGAACATTCTGTCATTATTTTCATACCTTCATGTCTTCCCAAACTTGCATTTGCTGTTCTTTTCAATACAAATAGGACAACTAAGCTTGATAAAATTAGTGCAAACAACTCATACACCATAAGTCTTCTGAAGCTATACAATGGATTTAAGTAGAATTCACACATACGTATATTTCAACACGGCACATTGTTCAAAATTGGTATTTGTTATCACTGACCCTGATGCAGTGCATCTTGATGCAGCGGGAAGATTACAGCAAATAGTTTGGGTCCAGTAACATTTTAATATTTTTGAAATAAATTAATACTTGTATTCATTAAGTACATAATAAATTGATCAAAATTGACAGTAAAGACACTAATAATGTTACAATAAATGCTGTTCTTTTTAACTTTCTATTAGCCAAAGAATCCTGAAAACAAATATTGCTGTTCCAAAAAGTATTAAGCAGCGCTACTTAACATTAATAATATAATAATAATAAATGCTTCTAGGAGCACCAAATCATCATATTAGAATGATCTCTAAAGTGTCATGTACGGTGGCCGAGAGAGCTCAACGCGCTGCAACTTAAGAAAACACATGCAAATTGAAAAAACACCAGGAAATTAAGAAAACATCTTCATCAGTTTCACAACACACGTGCTGCAAATCCTCACAGCACATGCAAAAGAAGAAATGCGCTGCAAATAGCACGGACCACAACGGAAATGTTTCAAGGGGACCCAAAAAAAGTGACGGACCCGGCTGGGATTTGTTTTGTGCAGTGGCTTTTTTTTTTTTTTTTTGTTTTTTGTTGGTGTTTCTTTTT